TAACCCCACATTTATTTAGGTGATGGCAACGTTAGTTTTTGACAGTTTTCCTGTGTTGTTTCATGCTGTTTCTGGGAGTTGGAACAATTATTTATTTCATCTTGAATTTTGAGAATTAACCAGCAGTTAATGCCCACCTGCTTGTGTCTGAGAGACTTGCTGAGTAGCTTCACCCAGCTCCCTGATGGTCTGACTCGAGCCTACGCACGTCTCCACTGCTCCTCTTGGGGCTGGGCCTGCCGATGGCGTCGTGGTTTTAGAAAGAAAGGCCTCTTTTCTCTGTCGAGACCCCCCAGACCAAGAGCAGGGATTATTGTTCTCTGGGCTCATAAACGTGTGCAGCAGAGCCCCCCCCCCACCTCCCCGAGGGCTTGGCTGATGGCACTCCTGCTTCTCTTGCAGCCAAAGGCAGCGTCGTCCTGAAGTACGAGCCGGACCCCACGTGAGTGAGCTGCTCCTGCTCGCGGAGCCTCCGCGTTCTCGTCGGGGTGCGGGGGGCGGCCTCAGGCTCAGATGGGGCCGTGGGGATCTCAGACCAGGAGAAGTCTTGTTTACTGTCGTGGAGAAACCTCGTTATGGAACGTCCCGCTCAGGCCAAACACAGGATACAATGCACAATCCTACTCCCTGGGCCGCAGAAAGCGAATTCTAACTTCTGCCTCAAACAGAGCGAGTGTAAGGATAGACCAGCGAAGAGAGGTTGAGTTCCTCGAGCCCTGCCGGTGGTGGCAGCCACCAGGTGACCGCTGTTCTGGGCTGCCCCTCCCTGGGGAGCAGGTCCTGCACGGTCAGCTTGCCAGGAATGGGACAGCGAGCGCAGGTGGTGCGCAGAGCGCCCCAGGCAGGCAGAGGCAGAGGCAGGATTTGCACCCAACCCGGGTTTTACATTTAACAGCCGCCTCTTTGTCAAATAAAACAGTTCCCAAGGAGGAAATGAAACAAGCGTTGGGGCTGGAGGGGGATTTGTCAGCTTCTCTGGAAGATACTTGAGCTGAACTTGAGGGGTGAGGAGGAAGCTGAGAAGCAGTCTGAGTGGGGCTGTGCGCAGGAGGGCAGGTCCGTCCGGGCAGCCTGCCCGTCTGCGGGGCGCGTGGCCTCGGCCTCGCGGTCTCCGGCTGCCTCCGGCTGCCGTGCAGAGAGCAGCTCGTGTAGGGGTGGGGCTGAGAGCGAGACAGCAGGTGAGTTTTAAAATGACAGTACTTGCGGGGCTCACATAGAAAACTGCAGACTATTTTTTAAGATGTGGATTCTCTTTTCCACATTCACGAATTTCTGCTAGTTGAAGTATAAGAGAAAAGGCAGCTTTAGGAATTAATAGAGAGGTCTTCAAATTTGAGAAGATGAAAGTATTTGGAAATTCAGACATTGAAAGGGTTTGAAAGCTGCCAATTTGAGTGTTATTCCACAGTCAGCTTTTAGAAGGAGAAACTGGCCAGCCTGAGGGTGTGGATAATATTCAGGACATGAGGAAGGAAAGAGGTTCCTTTGAGAAAACCCGCCATAGGGTCAAGGGCTAAAATGCCTTCCCCGTGGAGGTTGGGGCTGTTTTTTGGAGTGGGTATGTATTACAGCTCTTAAGGGCCAGTTCCGAGGACTGTGAATGCTACGCAGAGCCGTTCTCCTTGCAGGAAACCAGACACGCTCCAGTGCCCCATCGTATTATGCGGATGGCGGGGAAAGGCCTCAATTCGAACTTTTGTGCCCAAGAATGAGCGGCTTCACTATCTCAGGATGATGGGGCTGGAGGTGTCGGCAGAAAAGAAGAAAGATGGGGCTGCTCAGATGGACGAGAGCACAGCCAGCCCTGTGCCTCCGGATGGCGAGGCCGCTGCTGAACCAGGAGCAGAGCAGCCCGCCAGCCCTGGCGCTGGCACAGGCAGTGACCCAGCGGGGGCCGGCCCGCCCCGGTGAGGCGGCCGGGGCCTCCCCTTGGGGTCTGAGACCAAACCCAGGGCCGCTTCTGATCTGGAAGGCACATGTCTGGGAAGCCCGGGAGCCGGCGGGTGACGGGGCCATGAGCGATCCCGGGGCTCCTTCCGCGTAGGCCTTCCGGAGAGGGGCTTTACCAGCTTGTTAGAAGTTGCTCGTTTGAGTTGGTTTCTCTGGCAAAGTTGGGTCCAGTGTGCCCGTTGCTGGTAATAGACTTTCATCTTTAAAGTCTTACTCCACCAGGAAATAGAACTGCCCTTACAGAAGGTTTCAGGCCCCTGTTGTTCTGCCGACATTGGTCTAAAGGCTCACTATTTCTTCTGAGTATTATTTATAGAGAGAATGTATAACTCCTCACGAATTGATAGAAAACTGTACCATTAGCTTTAATACTTACGTCAGTTGCACGTTAGTGCAACAGTAATCCTCAGTGGGGTGGCTATCTGAGGCCTCAGGTGACTTCCGTGCCTTTGTAATAAAGGGTGAAATAAACTTTTGCAGAGTAAGAGCTGTATCGTGAATTGTGATACTAATTATGAGGGTTTTATGGGCTTTTATTGGAGTGCTCTGCTATTTTAATTTTTACATGGGGTTTGGGATCCTTGGAAAGTTGAAATAAAATTAGTGAGAGCATGTTACGTGGACGACTCCTGTTTTATTCTTCGTAAGTCAGGAGCAGACTTATTTTTGGTTTAATGGAAATGTCCGGGTTCAAGCATTAGCTGGTGAAAGGAACATTAACGTGAAAGCTACTTTTTTTCCTTTCCCCTCTTGTAAGCTGAAGCATCCTCCGTTTACAGTGTGTCAGTTTCTACTCAAGTATTAAGTGAGTAGGTAGCAGTGAGAGCACTTGAATGACTGTCTTGTGTGTTCACCTCTCATCCTCTAGAGGGCGGTGTTGATGTTGCGGCTACTGTGAGGCAGATGTGGGTGGGTGCAAGGTTCCCTGAGCAGTCTGAGAGCCCTCTCCAGTGCTGAACCGGCTCCCTCGTGCACTGTTGTTGGAGAACCTGCAGGTGGTGCCCCTCAGGCAGGACCTGCGGGGCTGCTTCAGTTGATCACTTACTAAGTCCCTGCTGTGTGCCAGGCAGGGCTCTGGGTGCTGGTGACATGGCTTCCAAGACAGTTTCCAAATTTCAGAAGAGCAGAGTGTGGGATGGTGAGCCTGTCCCTGTCACTTGGCATTTAGAGTTAACAGTCTGATTAATAGCCCTGCTCATTTCACCACCCATCTCTTTATATTGTTTTGAAGTCAGTTGCATCCAGTAACATTTCAAAAGATAAGGACCCTTTTTCTTTTCAAAAAATAACCTCAGTGACTTCACACCAAAACAGTAACAATTGCTTAGTGTCAAATAGCTTACGTGAAAATTCTGTACACTGAAAACTATAAGACGTGGGTGAAAGAAATTGAAGACAAGTAAATGGAAAGATATGTTGTGCTCATGGATTGTAGGAATTAATATTGTTAAAATGTCCATACTGCTCAAAGTGATCTTACAGAGACAATGCAATCCCTATAAAACTTCCAACTGCATTTTTCACAGAAATAGGAAAAAAACGCTAAAATTTGTATGGAAACATAAAAGACCAAGAATAGCCAAAGCAATCTTGAGAAAAAGAATAACGCTAGAAGCACTGTATTTCCTGACTTCAAATTATATTAAGAAGCTGTGGCAATCGAGACTGTGTGCTACTGGTGTAAAGCAAGACGGGTTAGTAGCGCCGAATAGAGAGCCCAGGAACAAACCCGTGCATACTTGGTCAGTTTTTGGCCAAGGAACCGAGAGTACAGTGGGAAGAGGATGTTCTCGTCAATCAGTAGTGTTGGGAAAACAGGATTGCCACATGCAAAAGAATGAAACTGGACTCCTGTCTTACCCTGTGTACGGAAATCAACTCAAAGCGGTTGAAAGCATTGAAGGTAAGACTGAAACCATGAAACTCCTGGAAGAAAACAGGGTAAGCTCCTTGGCATGGGTGTTGGCAGTGATTTTTTGGACATGACGACAAAAGCAAAGGCACCATAAGCAAAAATAAACAGGGGAGACTACATTCAAACAAAAGCTGCCCAGCAAGGGAAACCAACGCAATGAAAAGGCAGCCTATAGGTTGGGAGAAAGTGCAAACCACTATCTGATAAGAGCTTAATATGGAAAACATGCGAGAAACTCATACAACTGAATTCACAAAAAAGAAAAAAAAACAAAAACAGGGCGAAGGACCTAAATAGACACTTTTCCAAAGGAGGCAGATGGTCCACAGATACAAGAAAACACGATCGTCAGGGAGGTGCAAATCAAAACCACAATAAGGCATCACTTCGCAACCTGGTAGGGTGCCTTCTCAAAACGACGGGCGCTGGTGGTGGTGTGGGGACCAGAACACTTGTACATCGTTGGTGGGAGTATAAACTGGTCCAGCCACTATGGAAAATAGTCTGGAGGTTCTTCAAGAAGTTAAAAGTAGAATTACCAGATCATCCAGCAATCCTGCCTCTGAGTATTTATCCGAAGGGGGTGAAACTTACCTCCGAGGCATATCTGCATGCCCATATTCATCGTAACATTGTTCACAGTAGCTCAGGTATGGAAATGGGTAAATCTAAGTGTTCATCAACAGGTGGATCGATGAAGAAAATGTGGTGCGTATATATGCAGTGGGGTATTACTCAGCCATACAAAGGGAACCCTATCGTTGTGAGCCTGGATGGACCTCGAGGAAATTATGCTAACAGAAATAAGCCAGGCAGAGAGACAGATACTGCATGGTGCCATTTATATGTGGAATCTAAAAAAGAAAAATTGAACTCAGAAAGAGTAGGAAAGTGGTTGCTAGGAGACGAGAAATAAAGACCAAACCCCCACAAATAGCTTAGTTAATATTTCCATTTGCTTATTAGTCTCAATTTGTTTTTTAAGTTGATTTGGACAAACAGACCACACATTGCATTTGCTTCATTTGTCTCCTAAGTCTTGATTTTGAAATACTTTCTGACTCAGTATAAAGAACTCTTACCCTTCACCGAAATTCCTGTGTGTGACTGATTTTTTTTCTGAACCACGTGAGTTAGTTGCAGACGTGTTTCATTATCCCATAACTTCAGCGTATCTTTGCTGTAAACCCGCCTCTTCTGAAATCACAGCCCAAGTATTGGCATTGATACAAGGCTCCCTCCACCCCCTGACCGCATTCTGCCAGGTGGCCCAGCAGTGCCCTTCACAGGTCAGCTGTTTCGTTGTCCTGCCGTTTGTGTTCACTCCCAGCTGAAGCAGTTCTCAGTCTGTCCTTTGTGATCTGTGACATATTCGGGGGAGGACAGGTCAATTACTTTATGGAACATTCTTCAGTTTGGGTTTATCTGATGTGTCCTCGTGGTTTACACATCTCGACAAGGGTGCTACAGTGGTGAGCTCTGTTTCACTGGAGTACATCGAGAGGCTCGTGGTGTGGATTTGTCACCTTCCTAGTGAAGTGAAGCTCTACTTAAGTGTAACTGCCTCCACATCCCTTCACTTAAAGCTTAATAGGTATTTTTGCAGGGAGACACTTCCAGACTGCGTATATGTCTCTTATCGAACGTGAGCTACCAGCTTTAGCATCTCTTGGCAATTTTTGCCTGGACCAGTTTTTACCATGAGAGTTGCAAGATGTTAATTTCCAATTTTCCTGCTCCTCTGCATTACTAGTTTGCGTTCTACGTTAAGCGCTTTCCCCTCTGTTCCATTTCTTTATTCAGTTATTTATGTCATATGGACTCAAGGGTTCCTGTTTTATTTAGTAAGGTGTCTGTTACCGTCACTTGTTTTCTGGTCCGGATCGTCCTAGACTTGGCTGGTGGGAGCTGTTTCTGGTTGGTTCCAACATCCTTCCGCATGTCCCCACCATCCTACTTCATGCACGATGCTCCAGCCCTCAGGTCACCCCCGGAGCCCTGGTCCTTTTCGTGGAGCCTGGTAGTTAGAAGCCAAGATCTGGTATTTGGTGTGCTCACTGCTACCAGGAAATAAAGGTGTGTGTGTGCACAGGCTACATTTATACACCTGTATGTGTTACCTGTAAATTAACACATGTCACACCACCGCCTCTGATTTCAGCCCAACACGGTTCTGTTGTAGCCCCCCCTTCCATGTTTATCCTCCTTTCCCTCCCACGTAAGCACCAGGGCACTGGTTTTCCTCACTTCCGGTTTGTCCAGTGCACGACTCTCCCCCTTTGGCTGGGGCTGAAGGCCTCAGACTGTGGCCCCCTGACCCCTACGGGCTGTGCCCGCCCCCCGAAGACCCGCTGGCGGTGACGGCACAAACTTCAGCACCAACCAAAGAAAAGGGGAGCTCTTCGTTCTCTTAAAGTTTTTCCTCCATAGCTTCTTTAAGATGAGGATCTCTGGCCCATGCTGGTTGGAGAGTATTTCGTATGGCTGTGGTGGAGGCTAAACCCCACAACACGTGGCCAGAGTGGAGGCTATTGGTTAAAGTAACCTTAGCTCATCTAACAATGTAATACTGTGAAACAAATTAGAACCCTTGGTGTTTTCTTTGCAGTGAAGACGGCTAACATTTGTTAAGCTGAGATTCTTTGCGAACATTTTGTGTAGTTATAATCTGTTAGACGTGGGTAGATTGTCAAGACCAATATTGAACGGTGGAGCCAAGATTCAAACCCAAGTCTGTCCAGACTGCATCATCGATTCCATGGGCTCATTTGGTCAACAAAACAGCCTTGAGTATTTAGCCAGTTCCCCCCCACCCCCCAATTTGACATCTAAGCAAAGCAAGGCCTATATAATAATAGTCGTCTGACGGGACACTGGCTGGCCTTTGCAAATGATGTTTACGTGATTTATTTATAGTAACTCATATCAGTCAGGTGTGATGGGAGAAACCACACGGTAATTTGAACGAAACACTTGGCAGCCAGTGTGTCAAGGTGGAGGCTGGTGTTTTTAGGTTGCTAGGACAAGACGCTCACTGATGAGCCCTTGTTTCTTTTTGCTGTTGGATAAAACCTTTTGCTCAGGGCAGACGGAGATCAGGAGGGTGAAGTGCATGCGGCTTACGTTGTGGGTCGTGCTCACACGGTCCGCCGCTGCAAAGGTCTGCAATCTCAGGAGTGACTACCGCGGTCAGACACGGAGCCGTGGAACCGCATAGCGTCGCCTGGTTCATACCCTGGATCATCGCCTGCTCTCAGTTCTTTCTGTGGGTTTGGGGAGGGGTGTTTCAGTTCGCCTCCCCTAGGCTGTCTGGGGTGGACAGCTCAGGAACTGGTCATAGTGGGAAGTACAGAATTGCACATCTGACCCCAGTGTTTGATTGCCAACACCAGTTTCCAACACCAGCACCTGCCACCCTCAGAGCCAAACTTTAGATTGTTTTAAAGCAGGGAACAAAAAGCTAATAAACACTGGAAAACAGCGGCCTTGCACTAAATTATCCGAGTGCTTGGGAAATTATGCAAATTCATGTTCCAATTAAATTTTTTGTAAGATTGTTATTGGTGTCAGAAGAAAGACTATACATTTTTAAATTAAATATCTGGGGTTTGTTTTTCCAGGTGGATTTTGGTTGCAAAAAATAGCATTTCCCAGTAACAATATTTCTAAATGTTTAAGCCAGTTTTAAACAATGACAAGTACAAACAATATGAAGGGTCCAGAGCACGCACTGATGGAATCCAGCCAGCACCGACATTCAGATATGCCTTGATAATTGATCATCCTTCATGATTAGCACTGGACCATTTGCATGGCCCAGTCTTTGGAGAGGCAGAGATGTAAAGTACAGATAAATATAGAACAGCACAATGATTTCAGCAAATCAGGTCTGGTGGGCGAGGGAAGGTCAGGGTGAGCTGCAGACTTGTCCTGCTTGTGAGGGAGGTGACAGCCGGTTTTGACGGGTGGATTCAGCAGCAATGTGTGTTTTAGTCGGGTTCCCTGGGAAACAGCCCCCGGGCTGGGGATTTGCAGGCAGGAAGTTTGGATCAGCACCTGAGGCTCCCGGAAGGAAGCAGGTCTGGGTTGTGTGGCAGGCGGGAGAGGAGGGCTTCCCGCCTGAGGACCCCACCTCCCCTGCACCACTGAGACGTGCTTGTCAATGGTAGAGAAACAAGAATAGAAAGTGACTCCCTACCCAGTGGAGGGAAAAGGTAACAAAATGTTGTCAGTCTAAGGGAGGGAGGAAAGGAAATAAGGATAGAAAGAACAAGAAAACGCAGAAGCAGAAAACAGGAAACAGCTCAAAAAATTGAAACGAGACCGACACAGGCAAATGGTAATGAGCGAGGGAGGTTCGGGTGTTTTACTTTAATGTTATTTTGAAAAGTCCAGCGTTCACGATGGTCAGTATTTGAGAGGCTCAGACCAGCAAGATGCCTCCCTACTCCTGGCCCAGCCCCCTCTGTCCCCCGTGAGGGCGACCAGCAATGGTAGTTTTCTGTCCGTCTTCCCAGAGATATTCCATGCAGGTGCTTTCCCCCTTCCACACAAATATGACTTCAGTACAGAATGTGCGGCTCCTAGCACTTTTTTTGTATTTAATAATACAGCTTGGAAGTTATTTCATGTCAGTACATCTGGAGCTTTGCACTTCCTTAAGGAGCAGAGGGCCCCCATTTAACCAAACCTTGTGAATAGACACGGGGTGTCTCTGTTCTTGGTTACCAACCCAAAAAGCCCACAAGAATTACCTTGTAACTTTCATTTCAAATACCGTACCTGGCAAGTGGGTTAGAAGAAAGTCCTAGCAGTAGTACTGATCGGTCAGGGAGCATGTGTATTTTAAATTATGACAGATACCAGGTGTGTTGACATTAATATCAAATAAAATAGAGTTCATTGCAAGACCCATTAAATGGGAAAAACAAATACTTTATATTTTTTTATTTATAAAAAAAACTACCATGTACATATAATAACTTTTAACCTTTAAGCACTTTACAACAAAATATTGAAAAAGCAAAAAATATTACCAGTAGAAGAAATCGACAAAGCCACAGTTATATTAAGATAATTTAGTAAATGCACCTATCAGAAACTGACAAGTGGGGTGGAATATAAGGATCTGAGTATCAGGTAATAAGCTTGAGCAAACACAGTCATGAAACAGGACACAAACTCCTTGGGGGTGACCAATAATTCAAAAGCTTTTGAAAATATCAGTAAAATAGAG